ACGGTGAGACGGACGTGTAGTTCAGTTTTGGGCACGCGTACGGTGCTGCAGGGATTATATATAGGTGTAGTAGTACCTCTTCGGGCTCTTGTACACCTTTTTCTTGCTACGTGTGCGTGTTCTTTAGATCCTCAGATGGCTCCAGCACTTTCGTGACCACGGGCCGAGAGTCTTTGCTAGATTTTGGCATTTAGCAACTGGCATACGGTTTAATGTGAAGTCAACAACAACAACAACAACTACGGCTGTACCGTGGTGCTACGCATGCACACTTGTATTTGTACGGCATGGATTGCAGTCAAGTGTCAACCATGGCGTATTCGGCAACCAACCGCGAACTCTGGACTTCTCCAGGCACGCAATTTGCCTGCCAACCATGATGGGTGTACAGGTCATACGCCTGCACTTCCCGTCTGCTTGTCGCACACACACACACCCAAGCTGCAGAGATCATGTACGCCCGGCTTGTCGCCTTAGCGGCCATCGTTCTCCTGTTCGCCTCGACTCCGGCTACCAAGAGGAAATCTCCTCCTCACAAAGCACTGCCGGCACGAAGAAATGATGCGTCCACCCCAGGAACGACCCACTTCATTGCGTCCGGAACGGACTCCGGCGGCAATCCTCTCCCTGATGAATCCCTGTTACTCCCCGGAGGCGGTACGCATCAGGCCGGGCTAGCAGCTGCTCGGGCAAGTCGTTCCGCAATGCGTACGAACCAAACCGTCTCTGCGCGCGCCAACGCCCTCAACTTATATTATTATGTCAGCGGAGGGCGAACAAGAGAGCCAAGCACTCCAACGAAGAATCCCGCCGTGCCGGCGGTGTCGTGTATGACTGATTCGCGCCTGGCCTTGCCTGGATTCTGGTTTCTTTTGCGGTTTGCCGTGTGGTTTCGTCGCTCTGCAGACATGTGCCTGGACCATCACAAAGAATTTCCAGCATATTTGTCTTCGCACTATTACAATTAACCCATCGGGGCTGCCCTCGGTCATTCTCTCCCGTTTGTGACGACCGGAGAAAAATCTGTGGTTCACGGTTCCCCGTCTACCCGACAAAGCGTAGCCTTGACGATCCTCATCTGACGCCAATGGCTAACACTGTCACGGCCGACGGCCACCTGCCGTCTTCCCCACTCGGTACCCATGCCAACGGCAAGTCGAGAACGAGGAAAATGTTGCCTGTCAACTTCTTCTTCTTCATCACCGCGAACAACAATACCATCATCCTCGACCCCCACATAAAACAAGGTAAACATACCCTTCCTGGCCAATCAGTAAAAGGAAAGGGTTTCAGATGAGGCCGGGGCTACCGCCCCCCGTCCTGTAACTTTTTTTTTAATCTATTTAGAGAGAGGTGGCACCAGACTGGAGAAGCAGCAGATGGTGAAGGAGAAAATGGAAGGCATCATGGACGCCTTGTCCCGGTTAGTGCCCGGGGCACCGCCCGCCGGAAGTGCGACCGCAGTGGGCGGCAGGGGCGAGGCCGGCCCTACTCATGAGGTCTTCCCAGAGTCTTTCGCAGACATGTTGTTAAGTGTCTGTTGCGTGTCTCCCGCACTGGACTATGTGGCGTTAACTCCACAAAAAACTCTCGAGTGTTGATTGGCCCCAAGCCGAGGGCTGCTCGATGATGAGCACGGCTGCCCCAGTTGACAATGTGAAGGGGTGATACAGTCGTTTATTGATGGTCCTCCACAAGCAACGGAAGAGAATGGGCACCAGGGTAGACTAGACTATACACCGACGAGGCACGCGAGCAACAGCAGTCGCAAGACACATTCGGAACTCGGAACACATGACAGCACGGAACGCGTGACAACTTGCCAAGATACCACTACCGGAGATACCCCGAAGATCCAAATGACCGACGGACGGCCACTTTTACTTGCGCACTTCCATAGCTCAAAACCATACGAGACAAGTACTACCGCAGTAGCCTTCGAAGTATGGCATAGTCCACCTATCTATCCACCTCACGAACACGGCCATCCAAGTGTGTAAATAAAGCAGCCAAGCTGTGGCCGGCAGGGTACCACGAAACCCAAGAGGGGTTTCCGGGAAACCCAAGAGAGGTTTCTTCATACCCGGGCACCCAAAGCTTGCCCTCGTGGTAGGTACACCCTGTGGATGGTCACCCCTGTGCTCGTCACACGGACGTTGAGCAGGAGGACATGGTCAACGTCCGTGGGGTGCAGAACAGGTAAAAACAATTCAGACTTTTTTTTTTTTCCCATCATTGGGCTCTGTCGTCTGCCCCTCTGGCCCCATATCCTCCACTTCTACTAGCTAGACGACCCAACCGGGGTCACATAGGAGGGGGGGGCTGGACCCCCTCCTGCGGCTACTGTCTGAGGTATTTGGTACGACGCGGGCAATCTTTGGACTCCTGGGCACGAAGAAAGCCCTGTATTGGGCCTATCATAATAAGCTTGAGGTCATGATGATCAAACGGTTTGACCTGCCCTCCAACTTGTTTTGTGTTTGGAGCAATACAGCTTCTTTGTACCCGGGAGTCCAAAGCTTGCGCGCGTCGTACAGTCGGCCTGCCTTCAGATGCTCCTCCCAATCAACCCATAGATAGACTACAAGTCGAGACTGTTTTTTCTCGCTTTTTCGTGTTGCTCTCTTGTCCTCCTGATGGAGATAACCTGGCGGGAGCGAAAGCAAGGAGAGTCTGTCTGCGTGAACTTGCGTGAACAGCCAGCATGAATGCTTTTCTGGCTCCCTGGCTCTCTCTCTCTCTCTCTCTCGTCCTTCTGTTGGAAATAACCAAGGTGAGGGGGAGCGAGCAGCGACTGTCGTCAGGTTGCGCAATCAATGCTGTCTGACACGAGGTACAGGTCTTCTTCCGCCCTGCGGAACCCCCCCCGGAGTGTGATCTGGTTTGGAGACGGTCCGTCCACACCCTCTGCTACATCATTGATTCAGCAGACCCTCTGAGGTTTTAGGTGGTAGAGCCGTGCCTTTAGGCTGGTGTGGAGTCATCACCATGGTCACCACGAAATCCTCCAAGCACAAGAAGCTCATGGAGGCGGGCGGGGTGTCGAAGCTCCACCTCGCGGTGTTTCAGGGCAAGCAGGAGAAGGTGAGAGAGAGACGGACAGACAGACGGCGCGACCGAGAGAGATTGGCTCTTTATGTTCCGATAATTCTCGCCTGCGCAAAATTTGATACAAAAATTAGTTGCCCTCGTCTTTCTCCTTAGGGTGGTCCGTACAGCAGCGCCCTGGTTGTGCTGTATTTTTAACGGCGCCGACCGAGCTGGACGCATTTTTTAATGGCAGCGTAGCAGCAGCAGCGGTGTGTGGTGGGCAGGTTGGCAACTTGAAACGCGACCGACATGTGATTGGTGCGTGCAGATACTTGGTCAACAAGCCGCATATTGTACGCATGGACAGACAGAACAGGAGGGCCGCTAGAACCCACCTTACCGAGCACCAGGGGGTGGTGATCGATCGCGTGATATCCATACAAATACGGACAGAGAGAGAGAGTCAGAGAAAGACAGAGTCGGATTCCTGAAGGTTTTTGCCTTGAAGCGCCGCTGCTTCTATTGTACCATCTTGAGCAAGCGTGAGGCGGTATATTGCCCACCGTCAAACGCAAGGTGTGCCATGAATAGATCTTTTGAGCGGCACACACACACACACGTGTTTGCCGCCCGGGTGTTGCCAAAAAGGGTCTGTGTGTGTAAGGGACCCATGGGCCCATCGCTGCTGCTGCTGCTGCTGCTGCTGCTGCCTCTGCGAGACTTTTGGCGGTGTCATCCAAATGGCCACCAGCACCAGCAGGGAAGATCCACCGACCGAACGCAGAAACAGACACACAGCAGCAGACACGTGAAGACATACATGCAGATTCGGTCTCCCGGCCCCATGGTGAAGAAGCTCCGATCGCATGAGCATAACTGCTGTTATCAAAAGCACGCCCTTTTCCGCCTCGTGGTTCCCCGACCTGCGACTTCCGTGTGGCTTTCTCTAACTCGCTCTCTTTCTCTCTCTGTCTCCCACGGCGAGCATTTATTTACCCCGCGAACTTTTCCGAGACACAGAGTTGATGTCCGTCCCATGTGTGTCTATGATTGCAAGATGAAGGAGTGCAAGTTCGGAGGAGAGTGCCAAACCGAACAAGCCGACATGAACGAAACTAGTGCCTGTCAAGTGCAGGCCTGTCACACGAATTGTTACTGTTATTGCTGCCTTTGTACTGCTGTGTACTGCCCTGTGTATTGTCATTTGTATCCATTCGTAACCGCTGCTGTTGTGTACCTATTGTCGACGGTGGCCTTGCTACCTTCCTGATGTGAGGACCAGCTGGCGGGGACTGCGATCCGAGGCAACCCTGAAGAAATAGGTCTGCGACAGGCGGCGCGCGTGCATTTTTCAATCCCGTACATTTTTTATTTTGATTGTGTTGTGTTTCTTGTTGTGTTCTGTCTCCATCGTACAGCGCTTGAGTCCAAGAATGTACTTCTAGCTCGATTTCCGTCTCCAACAGCATTATTATTTTTTCGAAAGCAGGATCCGACCGAGAACCCATGCCCGGTTTGATGCATCGTCCAATAATATGCTCCCCGGGGCATGCGTCGCAAGAGCACTTGCGTTAATCCTGTTTGCCGTGGTTGGCGGGCGTCGACCAGCAATGTTCCTTATCCGTACAAGTATGTACAGTATGCACGTATTCACGCCAAATGTACGACCATAAAAAATAGACCGCAGCAGATGGCGCCCGCACTTAAGAACCTCTAGTTTCGGCCGAGGCTGGGGTTCTTATTTTGCTGATCTTCATCTTGCGGGCGACAAATGGTGTTGGGTTCTTTAACCGAGATCACAGATGGTGCTCAAGTTCTTAGCTTCTGATTTTTTTGATTTTTTTGAGAGTCTCAATTTCTTAACTGCTAAGTTCCTAAGTGCGGGCGCTATCTGTAACCAGAAACGGGTATACCCGGGTACTTTATCACCACTTTAGGGGACAGGTAGAAATCAACACGCTTGCTCCCCCAGCCTGTCAGCTGATTGACCGAAAATCCATCGTACCAATTTTTGGAGAACCTTCCATCGGGTACAACTTCGGCTGGAATTAGGATCCTCTGGTGTGACAGATATTGGATACTGGTGTACCCGGAAGAGGTCGATTTTGTACCCATAAATGGTCATATTATTCCGGCGCCCAACGCTGTAGCATAAAACCGCAGAAAAAAACGTGTACCGCACACACATTACCACATCCAAACCACCAACAACGCTCGCTCGTTCATCGTTCATGGGCACCGCCTCCATAGGATACCGGGCCCTTCTCAACAGAGGGTCGGACTCGCTTGACGCGCGAGTACTTCGGTGTGGTACTGATGAGCAAAAGCACAGATAGAGAGAGGCAGAGAGGGAGAAAAACGGGCACAAGGCATCCATGCATCCGAGGCACAGGACACAGACAGCAGTTTATTGGTTTCGCCGCGATCTACGGCGGATGCTGTCGGAGATTGGTGTCGTGTTGATTTCCAAGTGTACCCTGAAATGGTGATAAGCCACCCGGGTATACCCGTTTCTGGTTACTTGTCTAAAAAATAACCATGGCCATCTATTCCGCGGGTTCCCCCGGTACGCCTTCCACCTGCTGGACAGCAGCAGCGAGCAGCAGAGGGTGCAGTCTCCGGATTCAGAACATTTGTTGAAAGACGGCACGGGCAAAAAAGAGTGCCGTAGTTCTGTGCCTGTACTGTTGTACAGCGTGCACGCTCTCCGCTGCTGTGCCTTCCTTCCTTTCGGACCCTTCCGCCTCATGCCTCATGTCATGAAGAATGAATACACACACAGAAAGACTACCCGTTCGAGATATACCCACAGTCTCGTAGCTGGTTGGCTTTGTTTGTACCTGTTGGTCCTCTCGTTTTTTTTTTTTTCTGTGCCCCTTGTGGGCATGCACAGTTGGTGCCCGCACGTAAAGCAGTTCCGGCCGGCCGCTTGAGTAAGCAGTCAGGGGCTACTAGTTATGTTCACACACGGCAAACATACAATTATTAGGAAAAATAAATACACCCACAGAAAGACTACCCGTGCAATTGAAATTTGAAGACATGCAAAGAAACTACAAAGTTCCTCCGGGTGACGTGGACAGCCGGTTTTCTTTTATTTCAAGGGGGGACTACTGATAGCCGGCCGCCCCAGTGGTCTAGTTGGTATCATCAACACCTCTTCGAAGGCAGGTCAGGGGTTCGAATGCCGGTGTAAGCGAACTTTTCGTGCGAAGTGAGTTGTCCTCTCGCTTCCGCTCCTGGCCTAGACTAGTGGATAGCGCTAGTTCGTGTGTACACAGAGAGAAGGAGAGTGCTGAACTCTTCTCGCCTTGACAATCAAAGGCAAAGTACCGCAGGAGGGGAGGGTAGAGAGGGGAGGCTCTTCTGTGTGACCACGGGTTGGAGTAATCGGCACTAGTGCTGTGAGCGCTGATTTGAAGCGAAGACACAAAAATATAGATGGTATGTTTAGCCGTGTGTTTGACGTATGTCTTCTAACTTTGGGCTCGATGCGATGGTGTGGATATTCGAGCTGTTGCCGGTTGTTGCCGAATCACCGCTACAACACCGCAGTGAGAGAGACCCCCCCCCCAACCCCGCCCATCGTTTCGGTTAGGTAGTCACGTATGCACACGCTTGCACGCCTCCTCTCTGTAAGAGGACTCCAGAATCTGCCGAGAGGACCGCCGTTGTGTCTCTCTGCTGGTTCTTGCTTTACATTAGGTGTATCTATGTAAACACAGATGCATCAGTATGTCCATGTGTTCAGCAGCAACAACAGCAACAACAACAACAACAACAACGGACAACGGACAACGCAGGCGCGGAAGCTCCTCCAGAAGGGATGCCCCGACGTCAACCGGGGGGACAAGTTCGGCCAGACCCCGCTTCACATAGCCTGCCACAGGGAAGGCCTCCTGGGCTGCCTCCAGCTCCTAGCGGCCCACGAGGCCAACCTCAAGGCTCTGGACGCTAACGGCAACACGGCGCTTCACTCGGCGGCGGGGTCGGGCGCGGCGGCGGCCGCGAAGTTCTTGCTTGGGCGCGGGTTGTCGGTTGCCGACAGGAACAAGGACGGGCACACCCCAATGGTGAGCTGAGAGGGGGGAAGGGGGGGGGGGGGGGGGGGGNNNNGGGGGGGGGGGGGGGGGGGGGGGGGGGGGGGGGGGGGGGGGGGGGGGGGGGGCGTGGTGATTTGGTGTCTCTTGTCTCGTGTCGGCGTTTGAGGGCAGGGGGGTACACCTTGATTGAGGTCGTCGAGGAGAAAAAGCGACGTGGGCGGCGGTATGTGTGTGTACGCTCTCTCAACCTCGTGATTTTACACGTATCGTCGGTGTGGGACATTGCTTGCGTCTCCGATGGGAGATGCAGTGTGGGACGTCCCTTTCTCTTGGCGGCCAGCGCTGATTGTTACCCGCCGCGAGCCCCCCTCTCCCCGCATTCTCGCCATCGGACCACAACCACTTGTTTTCCGGCGAAGACGGCTGCTCTTTTCAAATGCGTACTAAAACCACTGACGGGTACATTCTCTTTGTTTTTCTCGTGTTTTTGGAATTGTTTTGTAGTTTCGCAATGCGTGTGGCGACCTGCGGCACGACCATAGCACCGATCGCAGTCAGCCTTCCGCCGCCCCCCACTCCCGCCATTTTCTGCCGCAACAAACACCACACGACAATAAATAACCGCCGCCACACACAGGACATCTGTATGCTACACTGCCCAGCGGATAAGAAGAGAACCATGCAGCTCCTGCTAGAAGGGGGCGTGAAGGTAGGGGAAGAGGACCGGGCAGCCGGGGGCGATTCCGCCGCCGCCGCCGGCCCGCACGACAAGAAGAACAGATATGACGTCGGTGACAACACTGCTGCTGCTGCTGCTGCTACTGCTGCTGCTGCCGTCACAACTCCCGCGTTCGGGGGCGAGGTGACGAGAAGCGGCGGCGGTGGCGCAACCAACGTTCCCGAGACCGGCCCCATGACGAAGGCCGTTGCGGGGCACGACGCGGGGGCCGGGGCAGTGGCGGCGGCCGACGTCGCCGTCCCTCATACTCCTTCCACCGGCGGCGGCGGCGGCGGCGGCGGTGGCGGCGACAGCGATAGCGTGTTCGTAGCGACGTCGTCTTCTCCGTTGCCGTCGTCGTCGTCGATCGCGGAGCCCAGGAGTGCCAACCCCAGCGGCCGAGCCACCACCACCGGCGGTGGCGACGACCGCGTCGCCCCGACCACCCCCGCGAGGACCAAGAAGAGCACGCGCGGGGCCTTCTTGTCCGCCGTGTACCGGGGAGTCAGCGGCGGCGGCGGCGGCGGCGGCGGCGGCGGCGGCAGCTTGAGCTTCAGCAGCAGCAGCAGAGAGTCTCCCCCGCGTCGGTCATCCCCCGGCGGCGGCGGTGGCGGCGGCAGCGGCGGCGGCGGCGGTGGCGGCGGCAGCGGCGGCGGCGGCGGCGGCGGCGGC